AAAAAAAAAACAGGAAGAAAATTCACCTTTACCTTAGGAAGCATGGATATAACATCTTTATCTGATAACAAACATCAGGGTGATCTTTGGGTTTGTATTTGTTGCCTGTCTTCTCCTTTGAAAAGTGGTCAGAATTTCCTTTTTCTCTGAAGTAATTTTGGGTTATATCCTGGGTATTTTGGATATTGCATTGTGACACCCTGGGTCCTTTTAAAGTGCTATGGAGATGTCAGTTATTTTTATTTTGCTTTGTTTTGTTTTGGCAGGCAATCAATCCAACTAAATTTTGACCACGTGTTCTCTCTGTGGGCGGTGACTCCAATGTAAGTTTAGCAACATGGATGGACCTTGAGGGTGTTATGCTGAGCGAAATAAGTGAGGCAGAGAAGGACAAATATCATATGTTTGCACGTATAGGAGGATTAGGAGGAACTTAATGGAGAACCATGGGAAAAATAGTGGGGGAGTGAGAGGGAGGCAAACCATGAGAGACTCTTGAATGCCGAGAACAAACTAAAGGCTGATGGGGGTGGGAGGGAAGGGGAAAGGGTGGTGATGGGCATGGAGGAGGGCACTTGTGGGGATGAGCACTGGGTGTTATATGGAAACCAGCTTGACCATAAACTATTACAAAAAGAGAGAAAGAAAGAAAGAAAGAAAAGGCATCCAAATTGTTAAGGAAGAAACAAACGTGTGCTATTTGCAGATGACCTGATACCGTGTGTGTGTGTGTGTGTGTGTGTGTGTGTGTGTGTGTCCCTAAAGACTATACCAAAAAAGTATTAGAACTGGTAAATCAATTTAGTAAAGTTGCAAGATACAAAAAGAATCTATAGAAATTCTGTGTTTCTATACACTAATAATGAACTGGCAAAAAGAGAAATTAAGAAAACAATCCCATTTGCAATTGCACCAAAAATAATGAAATGCCTAGGAATAAACTTAACCAAGGAGGTGAAAGCCCATACTCTGATAACTATAAAACATTGATGAAAGAAATTGAAGATAACACACATAAATCAAAAGATATTCTATGCTCATGGCTTGAAAGAATTAATATCATTAAAATGCCCATACTACCCAAAACAAGCTACAGATTTGATGCTATCTCTATCAAAAGAGCAAGAGTATTTTTTTTCACGAAACTAGAACAAATACTAAAATTTGTATGGGACTACAAAAGATCCCGAATGGCCAAAGCAATCTTTAGGAAAAACAAAGCTGGAGCTATCACAATCTCAGATTCAAGACATACTACAAACATACAGTAATAGAAACAGTATGGTACTGGCACAAAAATAGATACGTTGATCCATGGGACAGAGTAGAGAGTCCAGAAATAAACTCATGTTTATATGGTCTGTTAGTCTATAACAAAAGAGGCAAGAATATACAATGGGGAAAAGTCAATCTCTTCCATAAATGGTTCTGAGAAAACTGGATAGCTACATACAAAAGACTGAAACTGGATAACTTTCTAATACAATACACAAAAATAAACTCAAAATCGATTAAAGGTCTAAGAGACCCAAAACCATAAAATTCCTATAAGAAAATACAGGGGGTAAACTCTTGGACATGGGCCTTATCAACATTTTTCTACATGTCTCCTGAGGCAAGGGAGGCAAGTTCAAAAATAAACTATTGAATTACAATCACTAATTATCAGAAAAATGCAAATTAAAACCACCATTAAGACACCATCTTACACCTGTCAAAATGGCTAAAATAAAAAAGACAAGAAATAATAAAATGTTGGGGGACCTAGGTGGCTCAGTCACTTAAGTGTCCGACTTTGGCTCAGGTCATGATCTCCCGGATCGTGGGTTCGAGACCCGCGTCGGGTTCTGTGCTGACAGCCAGCTCAGAGCCTGGAGCCTGTCTTCGGATTCTGTGTCTCCCTCTCTCTCTGACCCTCCCCTGCTCACGCTGTCTCTTTCTCTCAGAAACAAACAAACAAATAAACAATAAAAACAAGAAATAAAATGTTGGCAAGAATGTGGGAAAAAGGAAGCCTCATGCACGGTTAAGGAGAATGTAAATTGGTGCAACCACTGTGGAAAACAGTATGGAAGTTCTTTTAAAAAGTAAAAATATAGGCAGTGCGCCCTTCAGTGCTGCGGATCTGCTCTTGCTTCAGCACTGTTTGTAGGGAACAGACCCACACCCCTTCTACCAGCCTCTGACCACCCTCCAACCTTTTTTCCAGTCGCAATCTTTGGAGCCATCTTCTTGCCCACCCTCTGTCTCCGGGACCAGCCAACACAGATTTTGAATTTAACTCCTCATTACCGATCAACCGTGAGTGTCCAGATTCATCAGAATTATTCTGCCTAGGTGAAGGCCACGGTCAACCACTTGATCATCATACATCTGCGGGCCTCCTACACCTACCTCTCTCTGGGCTTCTATTTAGACGGTGATCATGTGGCTCTGGTCGGCATGGGCCACTTCTTCCTCAAGTTGGCTTCTTCAAGTTGGCATAGGAGTCGCAGGAGGGCTTGGAGAAGCGAGGAGGGCACGGAGAGTCTCTTGAAGATGCAAACCCAGTGCAGCGGCCACGCCCTCTTCCATGACCCACAGAAGCAATCCCAAGATGAATGGGGTACAACCCTGGACGCCATGGAAGCCATCCGGCTTCTGGAGAACTTGAACTAGGACCTTTTGGATCTGCATGCCCTAGGTTCTGCCCACGCAGACCCCCATCTCTGGGACTTCCTAGAGAATCACTTTCTAGATGAGGAGGTGAAACTCATCAAGAAGATGGGCGACCACCTGACTAATCCCCAAAGGCTGTCCGGCCCCCAGGCTGGGCTAGGCAAGTACCTCTTCGAAAGGCTCACTCCCAAGCACGACTGAAATTCTGTCTTTGGAGCCCAGCAGCCTCTGAGAGGGCCATCCCCCAGGTTGCCCGGGCTTGTACCGAAGTCTCTCCTAGCAGGCACTAGGCAGCTTTTTAATCCTGGAGCCCTCTTCCAAGCTGTGGACCAAATAAAAACAATAAAGCTTTGTGCAGAAATAAAAAAAGGAAAAGTAGAAATGCCATGTGATCCAATATTCCCACTACAAAATGTTTACTGAAGAAAATAAAAACATTAATTTGAAAAAATATATCCATTCCTATATTTTTTGCAGATTATTTATAATCGCCAAGATATGGAAGCAGCGCAAGTGTCCATTGATAGATGAATGAATAAAAAGTTGGGGAAACCTGGGTGGCTCAGTCAGTTAAGTGTCTGACTGTTGATATCAGCTCAAGGGTGATCTCATGGAAGTGAGATTGAACCCCATGTCAGGCTCTGCACTGAGCATGGAGCCTGCTTGGGATTCTTGCTTTCCCCCTCTCTCTCTTCTTTCTTTTTCTTTCACTCAATAAATAAATAAACAAACAAACATTTAAGAAAAGAAAATATTAAAAAAGGAAGTGGTTATATATAATAGAATATTATTAAGCCATTAAAACAATGAGATCTTTCCATTTGTGACAACACAGATGGACTTAGAGGATATTATGCTAAATGAAAAAAGTCAGACAAATATCATATGATTTCACTTATATGTAGAATCTAAAAAAGAAAAAAAAAAACAAGGAAACTAATAAAAAAAAAAACCAGGCCCTAAAATACAGAGAACAAACTAGTGGTTGCCAAAGGGGAGGTGGGTGAAATAAATAAAAGAGCTTAAGAGTTACACACTTCCAGTTATAAAATAAATAAGTCATGGAGATAAAAAGTACAGCATAGGGAATATTGTAATAACACTGTATGCTGACAGATGGTGACCCCAATTATCAGGATATTGAGTAATGTATAGCATTGTTGAAATAATATGTTACACATCTGAAACTAACATAATAGTGTATGTTATTTATACTTTCATTAAAAGAAGAATGCCATGAAAAAATCTAAAAAAATTGGGCCAAGGATCTGAATAGACATTTTTCCAAAGAGCACATACAGATGGCCAACAGATACATGAAAAGGTTCTTAACATCACTAATCATGAGGGAAATGCAAATCAAAACCACAATAAGATATCACCTTAGACCTATTAGAAAAGCTATTATCACATAGAAGAGAAATAAAAAGAGTCGGCGAGGATGTAGCAAAAATAGAACACTAGTGCACTGTTGGTGGCAATAAAATTGGTGCAGCCACTATGGAAAACAGTACGAAGGTTTCTCAAAAAATTAAAAATAGAACTACTATATAATCCAACAATTCCTCTCCCGGGATTTCATCCAAAGGAAACAAAAACGTTAACTCAAAAAGATCTCTGCAAATTCATGTTTATTGTGGGACTGTTTATAATAGCCATGACATGGAAGCAACCTAAGTATCCATCCATGAATGAATGCATAAAGAAAATGTGAGATATCTATATTTATATATACATATATAGGTATATGTGTATATATAAGTACACACACACACAATAGAATATTGTTTAGTTGTAAAAAGAAGGAAATACCTTTTGCAACAGCCTGGGTGGACCTTGAGGACATTAGGCTAAGCAAAATAGGTCAGACAGGGAAAGACAAATACCAGATGATGTCACTTAAATGTGGAATCCAAAAAAAAAAAAAAATGCAAACAATCAAATAAACCCAACAACCAAACTCATAGAGAAGGAGAACAGATTGATCGTAGTCAGAGGTGGTGGATGGATGATATGAGTGAAGGTGGTCAAAAGATACAAACTTCCAGGGGTGCCTGGGTGGCTCAGTCAGTTGAACATCAGACTTTGGCTCCGGTCATGAACTAACAGCTCGGGTTGGGGAATTTGAGCCCCGCAACGGGCTCTGTGCTGACAGCTCAGACCCCGGAGCCTGATCTGGATTCTGTGTCTCCCTCTCTCTCTCTGCTCCTCTCCTGCTTGTGCTTTTTCTCTCTATATATATCAAAAATAAATAAACATTAACAAAAATATATAAACTTCCAGATATAAAATAAGTAAGTCCTGGAGATATAATATATAGCTATTATTGTGATTTAGTTACTAATACTATATTGCATATTTCAAAGTTGCTACAGAATTTTAAAGGTCTTCCACAGAAGTAAAAACCTTAACTAGATGTAGAGATGAATGTTAACTAGACTTACTTTGATCATTTTACCATATATACAAATACTGAATTATTATGTAGTATACCTATAACTAATATAATAGTAGGTCTCATTTTTAAAAAGAATAAATAAGTACTAGGGATGTAAAGTACAACATGATGACTATAGTTAATAGTGTTTTATGTTATATTTGACAGTTTTTAACAGAGTATATCTTAAACGTTCTCATAAATAAATTTTAAAAATGTTTTCCTTATTTTTGTATCTATAGGAGATGATGGATGTTAACTAAACTTAAGTCGTTTCAATAATATATGTAAATCAAATCATTATGCTGTATGCCTTGAATTTATACAGCACTACATGCCAATTATATCCCAATAAACTGGAAAAATTTTAAAAGAAATCAAATGTTTATTGGATGAAAGCATGCAAAAAACAAGTAATATAACCATCAAAATATTAGCATATATTTATGATGAACTTTCTTCCCAGTCTGTCTTGACGGTGGAATACTTTAAATATCATGCATAACGAATATGCCATAATTTGAGTATTTATAAGTCTTTATAAGACTAGTTTATTAGAAATATCCTACTTCAACACTTCACTAAAACTTCGGCCGTCTGGACCTTTCAAGAAAGTAGTGATTTTAATAAAGTTAATCCAAATGGTTTGCAAGAGTAGTCAACCTTGGAACTGATAAAATTTTATTTTAGCTGACTTCTTAAATGGACATCTTTGTGCAAATATACCATACACTTTCCAGGGGTTCTTAAAGGAAATTGAAACCCATTTATCCTTTCCTTGATTCATTCTCAGCACTGTAAATATATTACTCTAATGTACAGCAGAGACAGATGAAGACTATAGCAAATGACCCTGACAGGCAGCAGACCTTTCTGGATTCAACACTCCAGAACCTCAAATGATTCTCAGAAAAGTGCTGGTGAAAAACCTCACTTTGCATCTTGGCCTTCAGAGCTGGCTGCCCTACTTATACAACTTTCTTCACCTTAGTCTCAACTCCATGCTAGTCAGGTCCACTCCTCAGATCCCCCAGTAAGGCAGACACCTTCACTCCTTCTGAAGATTTGTTTATACTCTTCCTCCCTGTAGCAACATTCCCTGGAATAAACATACTTCCCCTCTTCTCTGCATATTCAAATCATCTCTAGCTTCAAGGCCTAGTTCAAACTCTAGCTGTTCAAGGAGTCTGTTTTTTAACAAGTCCTGTCCCTGAGTTCCCTTCCTGCTGGAAGTCTCCTATTACACAATCTGCCCCACTCACTCAGACTTTTTCCTTAGCTAGTGCGCGCATGTCTGTTCTTATATTTTCAGACAGCTTGTAAGTGATTGAAGTCAAGAACCTCCCTTCACCTTCCCCCATGCCTAAGAGTGTAATGCCTATAGTCAAGTGTTCAATGCTTCTTAAAATAAATGATTCTGAAAGGGAGACACTGTTGTTTATAGCATGCAATCAGTTTCAACTCACTTTCCTGTAAATATATTTCATCGCGAAAGGGCCAAGTATAGTACAATAACTTTAATCCTCTAGTGAAGAAGTTAAAGTCACTCTGATTTAAGTCACTCTGATAGCTATTGTTTTCCAACAGAGATATTGAGTAATTTCTCCAGATTGCCCATTGATTGTCCAAGTACCAATATTTGGACAATATTTATATAATTATAGTATATAATATATAGTATATAATATAATTAAACTAATTATGTTAGTTTTATAATATTTAACAAAATAATTTTAACAATTTATTTAACAATTTAACAAAATATTTAACAAAAATAATTAAAGTAGCCTTGCTTAACAACACATTCATTGCATGAGTGGCTTAATACTTGATCTACTCAATTTGGATCCCATTAACCTTCTACTAAGGAAGGGTAAATATTAAAGCTGATATTAATAGTACCCTCTGTATAGCTGCATTCAGCATGCCTATATGTACGCCCTCAAGGGGGAATCTTTAATTTTCATTAACTCAGAGGTCACTAATTAAGAAGTTATGATCATATGGAAGGGCTGAGGTCAAATATGCAAAGCAAATGCTGTGAACAAAATAGAGTAAATATTTGCACCATTTTTAAAGAAATCATTTATAGTTTATTTGCTAGTCATCAACCCAGTTCATTTTTCCGACTAGTTATCATTATCACCTGGTCCAGTAGTTCTCAAATTAATTCTAGTATGCATTAGAATCACCTGGACCTTACCACCACCATTTCTGATGCTGTAGATCTAAGTTGAGCTTAAGAATTTTAATTGTTACAAGTACCCAGGTGGTGTTAATACTTTGAAAACTACTGATCTAATCAATATTTTGCTGGAATCTGAATTCAATATACTCTACAATTCAAGCTGAACTTAATGACTTTTGTCTGTGTAATATTTTAGAGACCATCACCATGGTGGAAAGGTAAGTGGGTAGCAATTTCAAACTGTGATCTTAGTACAGTAGCAGTTATCCATTAATCAAATCATTCAATACAAAGCACTGCTACTACAGGTTCCCAGCTGAGTACTGGGCATCTTTTGTGGTGAGTGCCACAAAAGGTCTTTCACCTTGACTTGCACTTTGTATCAACCCAGGAGCCTGAGAATAAATTCTTCCAACTCCAACCCCTCACCCACACCAATTTAAGAACAAGCTTACATTGACATAGAAAACTGAGCAAAAATATTAAGATTATATGCTCTGGAGTCAGACAAAACTAAATTCAGATCCAAGGTGTATGACCTTGGACAAGTGATTTAACTTCTCTAAGACACATGTA